ACCGAATGCCCCCTCTCACTTTTAATATTTGGGCGCTACCCTGCCTCTCCCGCGTGGCCAGCTCACCCCGCTCCCTATTTCATTTGCCCTCCAACATGCCTAGTCACCTGCGTACAAACGGAAGTTGTTTTTATTTCGCACTGGCCTCTTTTTCCTACCCCGGTAGGATATCACTAGCTTAAACCACCCTTACCACTTTAACTAGTGTCTGCCTTTGTTGATCTTCGACAGTGTGTATTTCATTAGACTTGTGGCCCCACACACGGGCTGATGATGTAAAGAAAGGAAAATAGGAGAAGGCACTGTTTAACCTACGGGTCAGCACACCGTCTTTGTCATTACAGGCCATAAATAAGGTGTCTGTAGCGTCTATTCGGCCTTGCTCTGATGGACCCAATGCAGCCACAGACAGTACTCACCTTGCATGAGCATAGCGATGTTTTAGCCAAACTTTATTTATGGACACTGACCTTTGCATTCCACATTATTCTTCTTCTAATTGTTTGAACCAGTTAAACATCTACACAAAAATGTTTAAACCATTCTTAGCTCACGGGCTCTGCCAAAACGGTCAGTAAGCCACATTTGGCCGACAGGCTGTAGTTTGCCAACCCCTGGTTTAACCTATTCGTATCAATAATTTTCTTCCCTTGCTATGATTAGCTTTCAAAGTTCAAGATCATTCGATGGTAAGATTGGTAGATTTCAGGGCCGCATTTCTCAACAACTCAAAAAATGCTCTCAATTTTCTCAGGGAGCCGAGTATGAAATCAATGATTTTAAAGTCCATTCCTTAAACATATATTTCTATTTCACCAATAATGTATATTCTCCGACAGCTAAACTTCCCCAGCAAGCTCCAAATGGAATAATAAAGTAATCAAGTTGAACTGCGTGTGCGTGTGCGTGCGTGCGTGCGTGCAGGCAGAATGAATCGCCGGCAGGTCCATAAACAGAAAGTGAGCATTTCCAGGTTTGGCTTTTAAAGTATAAGTAAGTTTCACTGCAGCTGACAATCTATTATATCAAATTCTGATGGCAAGAAGGTGAAATTTATGAGACAGACAGAGACAGACAGAGAGAGAGATGGAACATCGCCTGAACTAGAAATCTTCCCCCTGAAACTGCTAGCGACGAGACTTTCACAGCTGCAAACTAGCAACCCCTGGGAAACTGGAGTTCAATATTCCTAAAACAGGAATCTAGTTCTGTTATGAAACTGTTCATCATTTCACCTCCTGACAGCCAGGAAAATCAGCAGAACTCAGAAAGGACCCAGACGATGAGCAAGTAGCATTGTTAGTAAAATGCAAATGCAGAGTCTTGGGGAGTTTGCCTTTACTGGGCTCCAGAGCGCACTGTTATAAACAACATCAAGGCAATTGCTTGAGTAAGGAGAGAGATGGGAAAATCTGACCTTTTGCATGGCTCCTTCTTTTTTTAATTTATTGACTTGAGAGAGAGAGGACGGAAGAGAGAGAGAAACATCAACTTGTTTGCTACTTATTGGTGCATTTGTTGGTTGATTCTTGTGTGTGTGCCCTGACCAGGGACAGAACCCGCAACCTAGGTGAATCAGGATGAAGTTCTAATCAGCTGAGCTACCTGGCCAGGACCTGTGTTGCTTCTTTAATTTCCCCTTTTCCCCTAGAAAATATTGAATTCAGAATAAGGTAGAGGTTAAAAAAAATAGAAGTTTAGTAGTCTCTAAATATATTTAATATAAAAATCTGAGGAAATGATTATATATATATATTCTCCCTCAAATGTGTGATACTTGTAACTAAACTAGCACTTCATTATTACAGATATTAGTAACTGCTACATACTGCAGAATAGCCCATATGACTACAAGACATTGTAATAGAAAGCAGCTCCCAAATTTACCTACTACTACAAGAAACACTCTCCACAATAATTGGGACACAGTCATCTCAAAGTGCTTGCCATTTCGCTTAAAGAGATAAAGTCCTGCTTCTCCACCCATGAACACGTTGCTCGGTTTAATAACAGCCCTATGAGTGTTGGGTTTCAAATCACTTCCCTTAGGCAAAGGGGCATAATTGTATGTTTTTCTACTGAACTGGAGACACTTTGAAGAGTGCAAACAAAACAGTTGATACGAAGACCAGTAACAAACACAATATAGGCCTATTTTTATACTATTACGGGCTTATAAGGCAATCGTCTGTGATGTTCTCATCTACAAGGCTGGAAAGGACACGTAACGGTTACCAAAGAAACAATAAAGTAAAACTACATGTAAACTACCAAGCACTTGAGTGAGAAAATGAAAAGAACAAGAAAACACATGTCCTGATAGATTCATGACACACTGCCCCACCCACGATGGATATCATCAAGGGTCACAGCTTGAAAACATGACATAAGGGTCACGACTTGCCACCTATTCCAACGCTCAGCAACATTGTTTAAAAAAAATGAGGATTGTAAGTGGCAATTTGAATTCAAATTTTTCATATGGTGAAAAAGGCATAAATTCTGGGACTAAGTAGTTAAATGTAGGCACTTTTAGAAGTTAAAGTATGCTGCTTGTTAATTCCAGTGTGGATTAATATTTTCCTGCAATTCTCTGTAATTCCCACTCTCTTTACTCATATAGGCACGACATTTAGCCAATATCGGGTATGTCTTCTACACCCAACGCTTGCCGAATTACCATTCTGAAACGTGAGTTCTTGGGAACCAAAGGCAAGGCTAGGGCCTGGGATTACTACGTGTGTCCACCTCTAAACCAAGAGAATTTTAAGCACTCAAGTAACTACGTTGATCAAAGCTAAATCCTTTAGGAAGATTATCCATTCCGAAGCCAGGAAAATCCTGCAGCGTAAGTACTTTTCCACTTCACCTTTGAGAAAAGAACTTCATTTCTGTACCAGTGTTTAAATCACAGGCACAAGACGATTCCTTCAAGGGCTGAAGCAAGCAGCTGCAAACATGTGTTTCTGCATGCTGATGACCGTCTATGTCAGCCTGGGGACCATCGCTGAGCTCACACGGAGAACAAAAGGAATTCTTATGGACGGGAGGTTCCTCAATCGGCACGTAAGTTCAGAACATGTGCAGCTTCTTGCTTCAGAATAAACACTCCATCCGGATCACATTGAGGACAGACAGTGACATTCACACTCCTTTACTAAATGTTACCCTCTCTTTAAAATAAGATACGCATCCCCCACAGCCTGGCTTGGGTTTTGCAAAAACTCAGATTTGTGAATATCATGAAGTCATCCTACAATTCAGTAAAACGAGTATGAAACCTCTTCTCGTGGCACATAGCACTGTCGTCTCCCAGGCTCCAGAGTTTAAGGACTACATCGAGGCTCCAGACGTCTTATTAACCTTATCGTTTTTATCAGCTGAGGCCACCGAAACCCAACTTTGTGCTATACTAGTTGAACTCCTCCTTCGACAGCATCTCTGGCCATCACATAGATGGCACCAGGCAACCACTAAACTGTTGCTCACAGCTGTCCCCCTCTCTGGTTCACCATGTGACAGCTGCTTCGGAATCAGCCACAGGCAGAAGCATGCACAAAGTTAACAGGGGTGCGTGAAGCCATGACCTTCTATGATACTGCTGTGAGGCCAACCGGCCACACTACAATCAGCCTCGCCTTGGCATCTCCGTCCCCTGATGTACAGGGCAACGCCTCTTCGTGGGCTGCTCCAAGACCGTCATATTTCCCCATCAACTGTATACCTCCCATCTACCCAGCCTAACTCGTGCTGGCGCCCTTTCCCTGGGAAACCTGCTTGTGACAGCAAGACTGGCGTGTGTGAGTGGAGAGTGAAGGCGGACACGGGCAAAAACGACCAAGACCTGTGGGTGTAGGGAAGGGGCACAGCTGAATGGCAACCTCCAACCTGAGCGTTTCTGAAGTGGCCCAAGGATAATTTAGCCAAGCACAGACAACATGCATTTCCGACTCGGGCTTTCTGAGGCTGCTCCTTCCTGCCTGATGCAATCAACACGTCCCGCCCTGACACTAAGGAATGAAGACCTAGAATTATTCTGTCCATATTGCAAGCGAGTCTAAACTGTTTTCCTAGAAAACCCTGACTCTCTACCTCCTAAGGTTGTGGTGGTAACTGCTAGCAAGAGTCCCAGGGGCAGAAGGCCAGTCCTTGTGGACTCCTGGGCAGAGAAGGTGGGGCAGGGTCTTCTAAGAGTTCTCGGGCTAGGTTCTTCCCAGTTAATGGCACACTACAGCAAGCCCGGACCTACTTCCTGGGTTTCAATGAAGGCTTTTTGGGGGCATAAGTAGGGCAGAAGAATGCTCTGGCCATGTGATACCTTGGTGGCCAAAGAGTGGACATGTTGTGCTTGTATCACCAACTGCCGGAGAAATCTGCCTCAAGTGCTGATTTTCTTTTCGTTGCAAAAACATGGCCACTTGGAAGCAAATTTCTAAATCTTTTGAGGCTTCGGACCACGTAGTTACCCAAAGAAAGGCTAAAGGTCTTTCTCTTCCCTCTCCTTGAATTCAGCATCTAGGTCACTGCTGGGAACACCTGGTCAGCCTACCAGCCGAGTTTTCCCGGGGAGCTCGAATTTAGCGGTGGGGAGGGGGCCACTTTTGGGCACCGCTGCTTGGGAAGACATACCCAAACCCTAAGACTTCTGGTTTTCCCTGGGCAGTAGCGATTATAACCCTCTTCTCTTAACCCTGAATCATACTCGTAACCCCAAGCACCACTGGGTCTTTTCCTACGGGAAAACAAACTGTCGTGAATACTGCTGTGTGCGTGAGGGCGTGCGAATTGCTGTGTGTGGTCTACACCGGTGGACACACAAGCCCCACCAGCCAGTGAGAAATAAGTTGAACGCGGCAGCCCCTGGCCACCTGGTTTCGGTCCTATCATCAGCCCCGCTGCTCTCTCCAGCTTTTGCGTCTGCCCCCAGCCTCCTGAAAAATAAAGCACCAAGTTGCCCGCGGAAGCGGCCCTGGGTGCAAAAGAACCGGCGCAGCCCCTACCTCGAGAGCTTTGCAATCTTCACAAAGCTGAAGACATCCATGCAGGCAGCCGGGAACCCCGAGCGTCGCGGCTCCCTCGCCCCTTTTCACGGCAGCAGCTGCAGCCTCTGCAGCCCCATGGCCGGCCAGGACCTCAGCGCGCCCCAGGGCTTGAGTGGCGGCGGCAGCGGGTGGCGGTAGCGGCCCGTGAGAGCCTGCACCTGGAGGCGGCGGCCGCTACCCCACTCCTGCCGCGAGCTGCGTGTGCACCCCCGAGCAGGACCATTGATGGGCGCCGGTGCAGGGAAAACTCAATTGAAAGAGGGGCGGGCAGACTGCGAGGGGCGGGGAGAGTGGGCCGGGTTGTGCGCTTCGCCCAGAGTGCCCCGGCCGGTGGGCGCCGCTACTGCTCCCCCGCCCGCAGGTCCCGGCAGCCCCGCGCGCCCGGGAGCGCAGACCGAGCCCGGAGCCGGTCGGCCAGCCTGGCGCACACACACGCACCCCTCCCGGCACTGCAGCTGCCTCCCTGCCTCCTTCCTCAGGCACAGTCCCTTCTCCTCTCCCCACCCCCACCCGCGGTGGTGGCGGGGGTGAGGGGGATTGTTGCTCTCCCGTCACCCGCTGTGTGTGCCTACAGATCGCAAAGATCTAACAGTCTCAGGCACACCCGGGACCGTGAACGCTACTCCCACCCTCCCCAAACCCAAGAAGAACCCAGCAACCGCAGGTTGCCCAAAGCCTTGGCTTATCTCATAAACAAAACTAGCGGGCAGGAAGGGGCAGGGATGACCGAGGCTGGATCGAGTGGTCAAGGGGAGGCTGAGGGAGATGCCCAGGGCAGTGGGCTCAAATTGGAGAGCGGAGAGTTCCCACTGTTCCCCCCACCCCCAACCGCTGGAGCGAGACATGACAGCTGGGCTGGCGGGGAATGTGTGTCTTTGGACCGCAGCACCAGAGAGACGTCGGAGAAATAAGAAAACGGGAACAGGGGCATGAGGCGGTGGGGGGTACACACGGCTGCTTCTTACTGGAGGGCACAGGGATGAGGGTCCTGGGAGCCAGGGGCGCGGAGGCTAATCTGAATGGGGTTCAGAGCGTAGAGGAAGAGAAGGCAATGAAATGGGGATCTGGCTGGCAGCGCTAGCGCCTTTCTCAAATTGATCAGTGGGCGCAGACGGGGGGAATAAAAACACAAACAAAAACACACACATAAACACTCACCTTAGGCAGAGTAAACTCCAAGTTGCGGCCATTTAGAACTCCTAGCCTTCTCTTTTACGTAATTATCTGGGATAATCACCCCTCTTCATGAACTCAGGTCTGTCTCCCGGGGCTTCGGGCTTCTTTCGGCTCCCTTTTTCTTGTTCTTTCTCTTGGAGTCTCAAGGCCTCTTCTCCCAAATCCTTTCGAATCTCTCCCCACACTCTCTGAAGGTCAGATGGCTACAGAAAGTGTGTGTTCTCCCACTCACAAGCGTCCACCTGATGGCAGGGCCACCGCAAAGAAAAGATGCCACCCCCGAATTGTTGGAGGATCTGGCCAGTGCGCTTCTAGCTCTCCAAGGGGATTAGGAAGAAGGAAATAGGTTTAAAGTTCCCAGACGAGTGCTCTATGCTGGTCCGTTGCTGTATTTAAAGCCTTCAGTATGCCACCCTACCACTTCCACTTTTGTTTTTTTAGGACATCTCTTTCAAAAATTAAAACCAAAGCCAGTAGCAATCTGAAAAAATCTAAATGATTTGAAAGGCAGGCATAAAATGACGTTCTTTAAAAAAAAATAAATAGAATCAATTTGCCTTCTGCTTCTTACAGACAAACTAGTTTAATTTTGTGAACAGGGCTCCTGCTCTTGACCAGAAGAGACAGAGGGGGACCTTGGCTTTTGAAACCCTATCGTTTGTGAAAAACCATTCTAGGTTGTGCCTGCGCTGTGTTTTATCATGTCAAAGCGCTTTTGCATTTGAGTCTCATAGCAACCCTGTCACATAAGTGAGGCAACATGTTTAAAAAAGAAAATTTTTATTTTTATGCCACCATCTATTCTTAATGTACTAGATGAAGAGATGCATTTTCAGCATGGATCAGATAACGTTACTTGTCCCGTCCAAAACTCTGCGAAAGCTCTCCATTCTCTTTCCAGCTCAACGTGCACTCCTCCAATGGCCAACGGGGCCCTAGGTGTCTGGTCCTGGATCACCCTGACCTCGTCTGTTACTCTCCACCTCTCTCCCACCACCACATTTTCGAAGCACCAGCAACACCTGACCCCTCGCTGTTCTTCAAACTCTGCAAGTGTCTTTCCCCTGGTTTCTTTGCAACGGTTATGCCCTCATCCTTGGAATCGTCTTCTCTCAGATCTTTGCATGGCAAGCTCCTTCACCCAAAAGTCTTTGTGTAAGTATCATGTCCAAAAAGCCACCCTTGAAAGGCCTATTTACAATTGCAAGGCCCCCACACTCTAGACTCCAAGGCCCCATTAACTCTTTTTTCTCTTGCTTCATAGCACTTATCACCCACTAGCGCATTACATCATTTCTTTTTATGTCTATTGTTTCTTGTATCCTGTCTGACTCTTTTGCTGGAATAAAAGTTCCACAAGGGCAGGATTTTTGAAAATGTTTTATTTGTTGATTTTTAGAGAGAAAGGAAGAAAGACAGAGAGAGAAACATCAATTCGTTGTTCCACTCATCCATGCATTTATTGCTCGATTCTTGTATGTGCCCTGACTGGGGATCGAATCCACAACCTTGTCATATTGGGACGAAGCTCCAACCAATTGGACTACCTGGCCAGGGTGCTTCTATTTTGTTTTTCACTGGTTGATACCAAATGCCTATAACAGTTCTGTGGATGTAGAAGTAACTAACTGATATTTGTTGAATGAATGAAGGTTCTGCTCATTAGATTCACAGCCAAACCAACACTGGCCAAGCGTCCCCAGTGGGTACTGCTCCCTCTCTGATCTCATTGTTAAAGTTTGTCCATTGCCCTACTACTTCCACATCCCAACATACTTCATCCTCCTTGGATTGCTAATGATGGCAATGAAGGCCCCCTCATACTCTCCAGTTATTATTCTCTTTTGCCCTTTCTACGTTTCCCGAAGAGAGTGGCCACCAACACATTCCTTCATCTCTTTGTCAACATCTGGCAGCACAAGACCAGCTCTTGGTCAGGAAAGGGAGTAAAGCAATGCCTTTGCAAAATGTGTGTTGAAAAAAGCGTGCTTCCTTCCAAGAACAGAAGAGTTGAGACGCTCTTTTTTAAAAAATAACCCTATTATTAACAATCATTCCAGACACCAATAGACATCATATTTACTTGTAGAGAGAGAGAGACAGCTTCCCTTCAAGACATCTGGTCTACCTCGAAGCGTTTGCTGTTGGGCTCCAGTCTGTGCCAATGTGGGCACTACAGTTATAAATAGTGAAGATGCCAACTCCCCACAGCCTCAGTGCCATCAGGGAAAACAACTGGCTTCTCCAGGTCTTCATACTTCTCTGGTATATTGATTAGTTAGTGTGTTTTCTAACGGATTGATCTTTTTCTAAAGCGGAGATTCTCCCTCTCCTCCTTTATATTTTATTACCATAAAAGTGAAAGAATCTGTTCCCTTGAAAGAGGCTAACATATCCAGTTTATACCTTCAAGCCCTCTTGGCAGAAAGGCAAAGATCTGAGTAGCAGGTCTCTTAGCCCTGTCCCTCTCTGTAGCAGGTGTGTGCAGCAGAGGTTGGGACAGGTTTCTTTGTACAGCACGGAACAGATTTGCCTAAAACAAATAAAAGCCAATGAGTGGCATTTGAGTACATACATCATTTTCTGCAGTTTCATCTTCTACCTGGATAATTTCTAAGGCCCCTTCTAGTTCTCACAGAGATTTATTCATTGGAACCTGTATTACCCAGTCTTGAGAATCTATTTAATTTGCTTTACTTGAATCCAAGTGACATTTGGTCATTTCTAAAAGGCAAACACACTTTTCAAACACTGTTGGGTATATTTGTGAATGAGAAACTCAAGGGCATCAGCTCCAGAGCAAGTCATCTACCTTATCCGACACTAAGTTTCCCCACCTGTAAAATGGCAATGGTAAGACACCCATAGTTTATCTAGAATGAGCCCTTGAAAGTGGAAACCAGTTCGGAGCATTGTGCACGTACATGGAGGCATATGGATATGAACTCCAGAAGGATTTCCACAACTGCCTGGGCCTTGGCAGTACTGTTAGGAAAAGTTTAAGCCCCTAAGGTCACTACTTTGAAGGTGAAGTCATTTGCTTTGATTGATCAGAGGTGGAGGTTTTGCCTAAAAACCAATCTCATTGTTGCCCGATTAGTCCCCAAAGCCGTAAGTGGTAGTATCCTCTATGCTCTGTGGGCTTCTCAGAGGAAAGAGGGAGAGATGTCTCCATCATCGGTAAGGCTTTATCTCCAGCTGGTGTCAGGAATCTGCTATTGGGCCAGGTATTCCATACAGGGTGGCAGATGAGGGTTCTTCTACTACAAATGACAGTAGATAAAGCCCCTGGCATTTCCCAGATGGACTGAAGCCCTTGACCAAAGGGTCACAGTTTTAAAAACACGGAAGGGGGCAAAATCTGATTTACATTTTGAATGGCTATGCTTGAGGAAAGTGAACAAAAGGACAGGAAGGCAATTTAGAAGCTCAGGATATGTTTTAAACAGCATTTGCGAGAGGTAAGAGAAGAGAGGAATCGAGGACAACTCTTGGATTAATGGTATTTAAAAAATACCCTGATTCCCTTCACCGGGTGTTGAACACAGAAAATCCAGAGGGTTGTCCCTGACACTGTGCTCATGTACTCTGCTTTCCTTCCCATTCCTCTCAAAGAACTCTCAAGCTCTGGAGGCTGACCCTCCTGAGGTGTGATCCTCGCCTTTCTTCCCTACTCAAGGCCTCACTCCAGCACTTACTCTCCCTTGTTCCTACACCAGCATTTTTTCCCCTGAATGACTGGACCATTCCTATAGGCATTAAAAAGAAAACTTCTCAACCACAACCCCATCTCCCTTCAACTAAGTCTCATTCTTCTGTTTGTTCTTCATGGCACAACTTCTCCCAAAACTTCTCTCTTTGCTATCTATCATATCTTGAATCTACTCCATCTGGGATTTCTTAACACTCTCACAATCGCCACTCCATTGAAAGAAATCTCGTCAATGTAACCAGGGACATTTATGTAGCTAAATACTATGGCCGATGGCTCACTACTGATTGTACT